CAACGACGACGATGACGACGACGACGACGACGGACGACGACGTTGATGACGGACGACGACGACGACGACGGACAACGACGACGACGACGACGACGACGGACGACGGACGACGGACGACGACGACGACGACGACGACGACGGCGAGGACGACGACGGACGACAGACGACGACGACGGACGACGAACGACGGACGACGACGACGGACGACGACGACGACGACGGACGACGACGACAGAGGACGGACGACGACGAAGACGACGACGAACACCAGACGACGACGACGACAGTGCAGGACGGACAGCAACGACGACGACGACGACGGACGACGGACGTCGACGACGACGGAGACGACGACGAACAACGACGACGACGACGAACGACGACGACGATGGACGATGGACGACGGACGGCGACGGACAACAACAACGACGACGACGAACAACGAACTACGACGACGACGGAAAACGGACGACAACGGACAACGACGACGACAACGACGTCGATGACGACGACGGCGACGACGAACGACGACGACGACCACGCCGACGATGACGACGATGACGAGGACGGGCGTCGGACGAACGAAGACGACGGACGACAATGAGGACGACGACGACGACGGACAAAACAGACGACAAAGAACGACGACGACGGACGACGGATGACAGACGACGACGACGACGGCGACGATGACGACAACGACGACGGACGACGACGACGACGACAGACACAGAAAACGGACGACGACGACGGTCGACGACGACGACGGATGTCGACCTCGGACGACGACGACGACGACGACGACGGACAACGACGACGAACGACGATGATAAAGAACGACGACAACGACGACGGACGACAGACGACTGAGGACGACAACGACGTCGACGGCCACGACGGCCGACGGACGACGGACGAAGGACGCCGGGCGACGGACGACGGAGGACGGACGACTGAAGACGGACGATGGACGACGACGACGACGACGACGACTACGACGACGACGACGATGACGGACGACGACGACGACGACGGACGACGACGACGACGGACGACGGACGACGACGACGACGACGACGACGACGACGACGGACGACACACAATGACGTCGACGACGGACGACGGACGACGACGACGGACGACGGACGACGGACGACGACGACGACGACGACGACGACGACGGACGACGATGACGACAACGACGACGGACGAACGACGACGATGACGACGACGACGACGACGGACAACAGACGACGACGACGGCGAAAACGGACGACGGAAACAAGGACGACGACGACGACCGACGACGACGACGACGTCGACAACGACGAACGACGACGGACGACGGACGACGGACGACGGACGACGACGGACGACGAATGACGACGACGACGACGACGACGAACGGCGACGACGACGCCCACGACGACGACGACGACGGCGACGGCGACGCCGACGACGACGAACGACGGACAACGGACGACGGTCGATGACGGATGACAACGGCGACGGACGACGGACGACGACGACGAAGAAAACGGACGACAACGACGACGACGACGACGACCGACGGTGTCGACGACGACGACAACCAACGACGACGACGACGACGACGACCGACGATGTCGACGACGGACGACGGACGACGACGACGGAGGACGACGACGACGACGAAAGACGACGAAAGCGACGACGACGACGACGACGGACGACGGACGACGACGGACGACAACGACACGACAACGACGACGACGACGACGACGACGACGACGACGACGACAGACCACGGATGACGACGACGACGAACGACGACGACGACGACGGACAACGACGACGACGACGAACGATAAGGACGAGGACGAGGACGACGACGACGGACGACGACGACGACGACAACGAACGACGACGACGACGACGACGACGACGACGACGACGACGACGGACGACGGACGACGGACGACGGGGGACGACAACGACGACGACGAACCGGATGACAACGACGACGACGGGGAAGAAACAACGACGACGAAGACGACGAACGACGACGACGACGACAACGACGACGACGACGAAGACGACGGACGACGGACGACGGAGGAAAACGACGTCGACGACGACGGACGACGACGACGAACGACGACGACGACGACGACGGACGACGGACGACGACAGACGACACCAACGACGACGGCGATGACGAAGACGACGATGACGATGACGACGACGGAGGACGACGACGATGAAGACGACGACGAAGAACGACGACGACGACGATGACGACGACGACAACGGACGACAACGACGACAACGACGAACGACGACGACGACGAAGGACGACGGATGACGACGACGACGGCGACGGACGACGACGACGCAACGACGACAACGACGCCGGCGCAGGCGACGACGACGACGGACAACAACGACGACGACGACGGACGACGACGCAGCCGACGACGACGCAACGACGACAACGACGCCGGCGCAGGCGACGACGACGGCGGACAACAACGACGACGACGACGGACGACGACGCCGCCGACGACGATGGACGACGACGACGGACGACGGACGACGACGGTCCACGGAAGACGACGACGACGACGACGACGACAACGGACGACGGACGACGGACGACGACGACGACGACGACGACAATGACGGACAACGACGACGACGACAACGAACGACGATGACGACAAAGACGACGACGACGACGACGACGACGACGACGGACGACGACAACCAACGACGACGACGACGACGGACAACGACGACGACGACGGAAAACGGACGACGACGACGACGACAATGAACGACGATGACGACAAAGACGACGACAACGACGACGCCGCGACGCCGCCGACGACGACGAACGACGGACGACGGACGACGACGGACGACAACGACGACGACGACGACGACGACGACGACGACGACGACGGTCAACGAAGACGACGACGACGACGATGGACGGCTGAGGACGTCGACGACGTCGACGACGACGACGGACGACGACGAAAACGACGGACGACGGACGACGGACGACGACGACGACGACGACGCTCGACGGAGGACGACGACGACGGACGACGGACGACGACGACGACCACGACGACGACGACGCCGGACGACGATAACGACGACGACGACGACGACGACAACGGACGACGACGGACGACAACGACGACGATGACGACGACGACAGGCAACGACGACGACGGACGACGACGACAGACGACGGACGACGGAGGACGCCGTCGACGTCGACGACGACGTCGACGACGACGACAACGACGACGACGACCTTTCATGCTCCTTAGACAGCGGGGCGGAGAACGGCACAGCTTGCTCTGCTTGCGCCATCGGGGACGCCTGCCCTAGGGCAGCTGGGAACTTTGCACTCCCACCTGCCACAGCGGGGGTACGAGCTTCCCAGCCGCCAAGCGACATGCGTCTCCACCGGCGGAACAGAAAAAATTGTATATACCGCTATTCGCCCTTGGACTCAGACTCGCGCCAGATCTTCCTCGATCTGCACCCCTGGAGATCCCCTCGGTCTGCCTTGTTGTCCCCTGTGCCCAAGCCGAAATGCGTCGATGCATCTGGCTCCATGCCCGCAGGTCGATGGGAGGAAAGTCGTCGAAGATTGCCTCTCCGACCCAGGCCGCGATGAGCGAGGCGCGACGATCGAGGAACAGAGAATGACACAAACGTCAGCGTCCGGAGGTCCGCGCGGATCGCTGCAATCGGCGCTGGGTCCCCCCAGCGGCGCCTCCTGCGCCGCCCCTGGCGCGCTCCGCGCGCCAAGGAAGGGGGACCCGGCGCCACGTCCATGTTTATGCCATTCTCCTGCGAGGGGGGACTCCGCGCGACAAGGAGGAGGGGGACCTCCGAAAGTTTAAGAGTACGCCATTCCTTGCTCCTCAAGGCTATCTTTGCGCCCCTGGGGGTGAACTACGGCAAGTTCGTGTCGATCCTGGCGTTGGTTTCTGATACCGCGGGGGTTGTTGAACATCGACCGATCATGGGTTGCCGGCGGCGCCCAAAGTTCAACGCTGGCGGCGGGGTCGCCGCCGCCCGACACGACGCTGAACCTATAGGCCGTAGGTAGCCAGCACGCCTCGAGAGGCCCCCGAGTTCCCATGACGTGACTCCGAGGGCGATGCAGATGTGTTCTGGCGGCGGGCCTGGGGGGAAGTGAGAAGTGGCTGGCGTTCTCAGATAGCGGCGGGGCTTCTCAGAAGCCCCCCCCCTTCTGAGAACTTGTTTGTGTCTTCGGGGAAGGCTTGGGAAGCTTGGCTTAGAAAACTTCTCGGAAGGTCCAAGGCCTTCCGAGCCTTCTCAGGAGGCTCGGGGAGACGTAAGGCTGTGGTTCGTGGGACTCGAGTTGGCCTGACGGGGCCGTCAGGAATTAAAATTTGACGCAAGCTCCCGCTGCAAACATCTCACAAAAGCTGGACTGTCAAAATTCAGGACGGGCCCGTGAAAACACGTCGGCAAACCCAAGTTTTCTGGCGAACTCGAGTCTTACGTTTCCCCGAGAGGCCCGCCCCGAAGGCGTCCATGCGAATGCGCATCCCCCCCCCAACGCATCCATAAACGCAACGGCACCCAGTCTGTCCATAGACGCCTGCGGCTAGAACGCGAGAACGGCAGACCTTGCCCAGGCCTGAGACCTTGGCATGCTAGGAGCAAGTGGACTGGGCCCTCCACTTCCGAACCTTTTGAGAAGGCCCGCCCCTCCTCTCGGGGGGCAGCGAAAGGGTAGGATAGCAAATGGCGGGGCAGAGAATCAGCTCACGTGGCTGGTCTTCCTGGCGCCTCCTGGCACCAGGGGAGGCGCCCATGCATCGAGGCACGGGCCCGGCGGCGGGGCGGAAACCACCTGCATGCAGCAGATCCTGTGATCCCACCGCGCTCCCCTGCCCTGGAAATGTCGTCCGGCCTGGTTCTCCCCTCCCCCCCGAGCTCGCCCGCCGCGTGGTCTGGCGGCGGGCCTGGTGGTAGCCCGGCGGCTGCTGCGGCAAGGCGCCGTACTGCGACGGGGCGCCCGCCGCCGGCCACGCGCTGCCGTTCTCGGCCGCGGCCTCGCCCGGCAGGAGGGACGCGTCGAGCGACTCCTCGATGCGGAGCTCCTGTTTGGCGGCGAGCCCCGGGGGGGGGGGGCAAGTGAGAAGGAGAAGACCTTCTCAGAAGGCGGGGAGGTCCCCCGACCTTCTGAACAGTTGTCTAAGCCATCCCCGAAGACGCAACAGACTTCTTGGGAGGGAGGCGCGAGGGCTTCTGAGAAGCCCCGCCGCCTTCTGAGAAGGCCTTTTCCTTCACGCTTCCCCCCCTCGCTCGCCGCCGACCTGTGGGTGGCGGCCCCCTCCAGGGTCCTGGCGCTGCGGTCTCTTCAACACGAGGAGAGGAGAGGAGAGGAGGAGGAGGAGGAGGAGGAGGAGGAGGAGGAGGAGGAGGAGGAGGAGGAGGAGGAGGAGGGAGGAGGAGGGGGGGGAGGGGGAGGGGGAGGAGGAGGAGGAGGAGGAGGAGGAGCAGGAGGAGGAGGAGGAGGCGGCCCCCTCCTGCGGTCTCGTCAACACGGGCGTCCTCTCGCCCGGCGTCGGGCCACGGGGCCATCACGCAGCTCGATCTGGCCCGAGAGGCTCCGAGAGGCGGGGGGGCGGCGGGGCTCTGGTTTCGGGAGACTCTTCATGGGGGGGGATCCCATGGGGGGATAGGATCCCAGGGGGGTGATCCCATAGGATCCCCTGGGGATCCCATGGGGGAGCAGGAGGGGATCCCATGGGGGGGATCCCCTCCTGCCCCCCCATGGGATCCCCCCCCATGGAGAGTCTCCCGAGCTGCAGTCTGGGCGCAACGTCAGACCTCGAGGACTTCGAGACCCGCCCCCGCCTCCCATCGATTCTCCTGAATCCGCTGACCCTGTCGGCGTGCGTGAGAGGTTTTTCCGTTCGAGTCGTCGCCGTCATTCGTTCATCGTCGTCTCTGTCGTCCTTTTTCCCTGCGCTTTCCATTCCCTATGCCCGTCGCCGGTCCTCTCTCCTTTCCTGGGCTCTCCTCCTCAAGCGCGTCAGCCAACGCGGTATTGAGCAACGTCGTCATACACTCGAAAGGAAGCCCCTTTCCTTTGATCCCTCCCCCGCCAGGAGGGGGGGGTCCCGGGTCCGGACCCAAATCCGGGCCCAAGGGGTCACGGAGGAGGTCCTGGGTCGGGGCCCGGGTCAGATACGCTTCCCCTCTGGGGGCTCCAGGGCCGCCAAAAAGCTTCAAGATGGGCCAAGAGTGCCCCAAAAGGTTCCAAAGACAGACCGCGAGGGCCGAACGAACATGTCCAAGACGCCTGGACGGCCTCCAGACGGCCCAAGAATCCTGCAAGACGCTCAAAGAAGCCTAGTCCCCAAAGTGCTTCAATAACAAACATCGTAAACTTTCACGGGTTTTTGAATGATTTCGGCGTTCTCGCTTCTCCCGCTTCCCGACGCTCCAACACAGCCCAAGCGGCCTCCCAGATCGCCCCCAGACAGCCCCAGAGGGCTCCACGAGCGACCCAAAACGGCCCAAGAGTCCCAAGACGGCCCAAGACGCTTCAAAAAAGGCCCCAGAAGCTCCCAAAACGGCTCCAAGACGGTGCCGAGACGACGGACCAAAACGGACATTTCGAGCCCTCTGCCCCGAGTGCTCCCAGGAGGAACCAAGTGGGCCCCCAAAGGGCCCCAAGAAGCCCTGAAGAGACCCCAAGTTGCTCCCGAGAGGCCCCTGGGAGGCCCCACAGGCCCCCAAGAGGGCCCCAGAGACCCATACACTGTCCCCCGTGGCCCCCAAAATCGTTTCGATCAGACCCCAAGAAGCATCCCTGAGAACTCTGACCCACGCCGGCGTTGTCGTCGTTGGCAGCCCGACGGTGTATATTTAGTAAAGTGGTTGCCGCGCTGCCCTTTGTCTTGTTGTCTTGGTGGCGACACACCAGCCCCGTCCTGGTAAATGGCGAGTCCATGGCGACTCCTCCGCCATCCAGCTCCTCATCCCTCCTCCTGATTATCTTCCCTCCTCCCTCCTCTTCCCCTTCCCCTTCACCTCCTCCGTCCCCCTCTCCTCCTCTCTCCCATTACTTCTCTGTTTGAATATTTTCATCGTCGCTGTCTTCGTCGTCGCCCCCCTTCAGGGTCAGAAGCACCAGCCGAAACGGCATTCGCAATCGATGGGAGGCTGGGGCAGGGTTCCATTCTCACCACAAGTTCAACGAATTCTGAACCCTGCCCCCACCGCCCATCGAATTGCCTGAGTCGTTCATCGGCAAGGATATCATATTGACAAGGAGGGGGTCAGAGTTGGGGCGGAGCCAGATTTGCGCTGTCTTGGAGGGTTCTGGGGGTCAGGACAAAAGCCACCCTTTCATGGCTTGCTTGAGGGGCTCTAGAATTGCCCGTCTGAGAGGGTTGCGACCCTCCCCTTTGGTTTCGAAATCTGGAGCAGGGCTCAGATTTCGCTGCCGATCCTGGGAGGGCGCTAGCCGCCCAGCCCCCTCCGCGCGCCCGAGCAAGACGAGCAGAGACCACAAAGACACGGCGGAGCGCTCTCTAGGCAAGCCTCGGCCTCTGGGAGCCTCTTCTGCCGGGCCTCCCGGACAGTCGAAGCCTCTCGGGACGAGGCAAGCCGGCTCTGTGGGAGGGCTCGGAGACCTCAGGGTTCGGCGTCGCCTCATGGGAGGGCAATGTAAATGAGGGGGGAGAAAGGTGCACCTCTCGGGCCCCGTGGGCCCTCTTTTGGGCCCCGAAGAGCCCCCTCGGGGGCCCAGGGGCCCCTGCTCTGCAGCCCTCGGTGTCCCTCCACTGGGCCCCCCCGTTACTCGACGCCCAACAGGGGCGGCTCGACGTGGCGGGTTCCCGAAACCTGGAACCCAAAAAGGTTGCCATCTCTCCAGGCGCATTTGTCCTCTAGACAAGCGCGTTGCACTACTCGCAGCTCGCAAAGTAACTGCTCGCAGGTGGCCTGGATCCACCGCGGGGGATCTACGGTCCGATACATCGAGGCAAGCTCTTGCCGTCGCTCGGACGGCCATTCACCGTGCATGGTTCGGTCTCGTGCGCGTTTTTTTGGCTCGATGAACCAGGATGCTCCTCGATGGTCCTCGCCGGAAAAAAAAAAAAAAAAAACAAAAAAAAAAAAAAAAAAAAAAAAAAAAAAAAAAAAAAAAAAAAAAAAAAAAAAAAAAACACGTCCGAGCGATGCCCAGCATGTGGGCAGGCGAAGCGGAGTGCTGGCACGGGGGCTGGTGCGTCTAGCATGTCGTTGGCAGCTGGCAGGGGGAGGGCACCCGGTGGAGCGCTCGGTGAATCTCTCGGGGTGCACTTGCCCCTTCCGCCGCCTTCAGCGGGCCTCCGCCGGCGCAGCGGCCCCCGCGTTACACTTCCGCCGCCCTCCGCCGCCCTTCCCCCGCCCTTCCGCCGAGGAAGAAACGACGATTTCGTCGATACTCGAAGGCGAGGTCCTTTCTGGAACGCCTCACGTAGGAGAAGAAAACATCGAGACGGGGTCTGGGCGTGCACGCACACTGGTCCTGGCCGGGCCCAATGCGAGAGCGGTGTCCCACCAGGGCCAGATAAGGGACTGGCCGTCAGGGATCGGTGTCTATCACAATTGGCGTCCCCCGAACTCCTCTTCCTCCAGCTCCTGCTCCGTGATCTGCTCCCTCCAGTGCGCCCGGAAGCAGCAGGGGAAGACAGCGACCTGCGCGAACATGAAGAGGACGGTGATGATGGCGAGGAAGAAGGTCCAGCCGAACTCCAGGTTGTTCAACGGGTGGTACGAGAGGAGCGAGTTCCCCGTGTAGCTGCTCATGAGAGCAGCCCACCCGCGCGGCAGGTCTCCCAGGTCAGGGGTGCAAAATGCCCAGGATCCGATCCCCGTGACCGCAAGGAGCGGGCCAACCGTCATCATGTTGAGGGCCCACTCTCGCACCTTCGCCAGGGGGGCCTTGTACCAGTAGAACCAGATGAAGCCAGCGCCTCCCAACTGCAAGATGATTGCAGTCGAGACCGTTAGAAAAATGATAAAGTTGCCGTAGTAAAGGGTTTTCATGGTCTGGCAAGGGGTCTCGCCCATGACGCAGGACAGGTGGGAAAACTCCATCAGCGAATGATGCCCGTTCAGACCCTGAAAGAACTTGCAGACTTTGTCCTCCACCCAGTTTTTGCCACACTCGAACTCGACATTGATAGACAAGAGGGACGTCTGGAGGGACAGCGTTTTCATGCCGAACCCCCTGAACGCCCTGAACTTCCACGAACCGCCGCAGAGGCATATGAAGAGGAGTGCCGCGTTGAAGAGCGCCAGGACAACGATACCCTTGACTACGGTCTCATCGTGTCCAACCTCCTGTTTGGCCTTCTTCTCCATCATCTTGAGACGCATCTCTCGCCTCTCGAACTTGCGCGTCTCCGTTTCGCTTAGCTGGTGATCCTGCTGATACGCGAGCATCTGCCCTGCGTAGGCCATCTGCTGGCCCTGATAGCCGCCCTGCATCGCTGAGAGGGGGCTAAATGATGCCTGACTTAGAAAAGTAGCAGCGCCCGACCAAACCCGGCAAGCGGGTGGAACAAAGCAAGCTGAGAATAGATCTGGAATATTGGGCCGAAACGGAGGGCGGGAATGAAAAGGGAAGGATGGGGATGATGATGATGATGATGATGATGATGATGATGATGATGATGATGATGATGATGATGATGATGCTGATGATGCTGATGATGATGATGACGATGATGATGAGGAGAAGGAGGAGGGCCCTGAGGGGTGGTCTTTGGGCTACTGGGGCCACTGGCAACAGGTGACCCGTGTGTGTCCGAACGCGCTCTGCGGCGACAGAGAGGCCAGTCGCGGCGCGGGAGGCCCAGCTGCGATCACCTCGGATGCCCATGCGGTCGTGGACGGCGCAAGAGTTGGACCACGCAGAGGAAGCTCGGCGGCGCGCCTGGGGGAAGTGAGAGGGGGCAAGAGTTGGACCATGCAGGAGGCTCGGCGGCGCAAGAGTTGGGCCACGCAGGAACCTCACAAACCGATCTGGCTCGAGGAATGACGCAGAGAGATGGGGTCTGGGGCTCTGATCGTGACTTCTTACCGTGGTACCATATGTTGGCAGCGTCGTGTCTCATGGGGAGCCACGGCCAGCGGGGGCCCAAGAAGCCTGCCGGCGCGGGCGCCGTCTGAGGCAGATCGAGAGACCGCGGAGCTGCGATCGGCCCCTGCTCGAGAGGTCCCCTCTGCGCACAGCCGGGGGGCTGCTGCTCCGTGCCCCGCCTCGGCGGGAGACTCCGCCCCGCGGGGCGTAGCACTCCCGCTGGGTCGGGCAGCTCGGCTCCCCGATGCTGGCCATGGTGATGGGCCAGAAGCCTGGCCACCCCTCGGCGGCGAGCTCGGGGGGTAAGGAAAAGAAAACAAGGCCGTCTCGGAAGGCTCGGGAGACCCCTCGGAACTTTGCCAAGCCGTCCCCAGAGGACACGGAAAATCTCTCAGACGGCGCGAGGGCTTCTGAGAATGTCCCGCCGCCTTCTGAGGAGGCCCGCGCCTTCTCACTTCCCCCCATCGCTCGCCGCCGAACCTCCGATGCCAGCTCGGCGAACGCAACAACTGCGCCGTCGCACTCGGACGGCAACGCTCCGACCGCAGGATTGCAAAAAAACCCTGGATTGCAAAAAAAAAAAAAAAAAAACTCGCACGAAGGATTGCAAAAAAACCCTTTGAACGAAGGGTTTTTTTTGCAATCCTACGAAGGTTTTTTTTGCAATCCTTCGTTCGCAGGGTTTTTTTGCAATGCCTCGTCAGGAGGCCCTGGGCTGCCCGCTGCCCGGGGGACGCGTTGCCACTGCCCGGCGGCGCTCGGCGCACGTGGGCCCGGCCCAGGTGCGCAGTCCGCGCCGCGCCGCCTCGAAGGGCGGCAGCCCCTCCCCGCGACCTGCGAGCGCAGGCGGCGGGTGCTCCCCGGGTCGTGGAACAGCGGACAACGGAAGCCTAAACTGACTACCTACCAGACCACCCCAACCCAACCCGAAGACCCGAATTTCGGGTTGGGGGGGGTACGGGTTCCATATGTGTTTTCTCGATGTTCCACGACCCCCCCCAACTGGAAATCGAGGATAAATTGGGGCCTTCGGGTTGGGTTGGGGTGGTTTGGTGGGTGGTGATAAACTTTCGGAGGCCCGCGCCCACTTCCTGGACTGGCTCCGCCTCCTCCTCCGCCTCCGCCTCCTCCTCCCTCCACCGCCCGCCCCACGTCCCGAGCCTGTGGCAGGGTCCTCAGCTCGTGGTTGTCGTTGTCGTCGTCGTCGTCGTCGTCGTCGTCGTCGTTCTCCGTCTGGGTCGACGGCACCAGTCGCAAGGCGCTCACAAGAACGTAAGCCTAAACTTTCGGAGGTCCGCGCTGATGTCTTGGACTGGCGCTGGAGCCCCATCCCTGGCGCGCGGCAGGGGGCCTCAGCGTCGATCCCAGGAATCCGCACAAACCGTCGAATGTTTCTGTTTGCCCTGCTGCCTGTCCCTTGACCAGACGCCCAGGACGACGCTCCGAGGCTCCATAGGTAGAGGCCTCCTAGATCGGGTACAAATAGATGGGGGCCGAGGATCACTCCGCATCGGCGATGCATCGGCGCCGGCGGCGTGGAGACAATCGGGCCCCAAATCGAGCCGCATCGCCGATGTATCGGCAATGCGGCGTGATCATCCGACCCCATCTGCTCCACACCATCTTGGGGAAATGGTACCGATACCACTACTCCCCGGACCTCTCCCGAAGTGCGTTCTGACCAGGATTCCGAGGCGAATCCGGCGGTGGCGACGAGGGCCTCCAGGGAGGCCCACGAGTGGGAAGACGAGGGAAGGGTAACGGTGTGGGTACCCGCTTCCTCCTGTGGCGGGGCCCAGAGCGACGCTCCGAGGCCCCCAAGGGGGGGAAGCTCACGCCGTCGCCGCCAGCCGCCGCCTCGTCGGCAGCGCCGTGCGGCGCAGCCCGCGGGGGCGCCGTGCCCATCGGGGCGCCGCGCCCGCGGCCTGTCCGCCGACGGCCAGCCGCCGAACGCAAGGCGCGGGGGCGCGCCCCCAAAGGGCGCATGCGGAGGGCGCGGCTTCGCATCTGTGCGACATGGGCAGTATCGGGCGGAGCGGCACCCTCAGCGGCGACCGCCGGCGACGAGGAGGGGGAATTGAGGAAGAGCAAGGGGGAGGATGGAGGAGGAGGCGGAGGAGGAGGAGGAGGAGCAGGAGCAGGAGGAGGAGGAGGAGCAGAAGAAGGAGAAGGAGAAAGAGAAGGAGAAGAAGAAGGAGGAGAAAGAGAAGGAGAAGGAGAAGGAGAAGGAGAAGGAGGAGGAGGAGGAGAAGGAGAAGGAGAAGGAGGAGGAGGAGGAGGAGGAGGAGGAGGGAGGAGGAGCAGGAGAGAGCGATGACGATGATGATGATGATGACGACGACGATGACGATGACGATGACGATGACGATGATGATGATGATGATGATGATGATGATGATGATGATGATGATGATGATGATGGTGATGCTGATGATGATGATGATGATGATGATGATGATGATGATGATGATGATGATGATGATGAGGATGATGAGGATGAGGATGAGGATGAGGATAAGG